CGAAGCAACAAGCTGGCTTGGCCCTTAAGGAATGGAAGAATTGCATCCTTCCTTCCAAACATTGGTTGGATATGATTTGATGAATATTTTGTTTGGTACTTGTCATATTATTTCTAGGGTTTTGATGCTCATACTATTCTATTTTAAACTCCTAGAAAGATGCACTGGTCAGAAAACAAAATCCAAGCGAGATGCATGCGTGCCACGGAAATTACTTAGGTTCTTAAGAACTTCCAACGTGTGATTGTATGACACCTTAGGATGATAAATTAAACTAATGTCTCATTGTGCTGCTAAAGATACTCCATGAACATAATCTGTGATGATCTAACTCTCGTTCTAATAGGTTACCATGATGATCTTCGTCCTCCTTGCGATTCACGAGGCCATAAAATATTTATATTATGTGATCCTTGCGATAGTTTTGGGTGACATAACTAGACATTGGCCTATGTGTATTCATTATTCTAGGCAGATTTCCTAACGTAATCTTTTGGCGAGGACTAAAAGAAAAGAAAGTGGGAAGACAAATTGAAAGGCTACAAAAAAATCAAATGAAGATCGGAAACTTATCCGGAAATAGAAGAAAATGAAATAAAGGGGAGAATTTAAGGAATGTAGATGATTCTCCAAATCTTGATTATGTAAAAAATTTAGACAAAAATGGTGGGAAAAGTAATATATGATTCAGATTATTTAAATTAAAAGAAATGAATTCAAATTATTGCAAGAATGAAAATTTTCTATGAATCTATAAAAAAATATAAGGCATCACAATGTCAGGGAAAATTGTCTAATCAGTCTTAAACCTATTGTACGAATACCAATTCAATCCTAAAGTCTTCAATTTTGCCAATTTAGTTTTAAATCTTTACGCGAAATTTCAATGTAGTGCTTTCGATCAATATTCGCTAGAAATCACTGACGTGGTAGTCCGGTCATCGTCGGCCATCCTACGTAGCATACTGTCACATTAGATATTTCAGACAAAATTGGCCAACGAATTTACGTTGGAATTTCGTGCAAAGGTTTAGGACCAACTTGACAAAATTAAAAAGTTTAAGCTTGAATTGACATTCATATAATAGGTTTAGGACATATTGAACAATTTCTCCCGTCACGTTGTAATGTTGACCATTAGAACACTATCTTGAGGAAAATTACACCACAAATGTCAACATTACTAATGCATCTAAACTTTCACAAACTAGGTTAATTGCTCCCAAATCCTTATTGCTAATGCTTTGTGGCAAATGGTACAAAATTGCTTAAATTACAAATAGTTGCTTCCTCAACTACCTCCACTTTATTGATCCGGTCAAAGGCAGACCACTGACTTCTGGCTTTGGAGTTTCGCGTGAAATTACTTCATTTTTTTTTTTTTTGCTTGATCTCGAGAGAATGAGTCGAGTTAAAAGAATATTTCACGACGTTCCTATATATCATTGATGTAATATCTACCTCCAAAATTTTCAGCCTCAATCTCATTTTTAAGGACTTTCATTGCTATTTCCTCCCCCTACATAAGCGAAATTTTGCATCGACCAAAGTCCAACCTTTGGTTTTTGTTTTCTTTCGATTTTCCTTTTTTGGACGGAACGGGTGCTGGTGGTTCAAGACCATACAAATGGAAAAGAACGCTTAAGCAATCCCAAACAAGTGCGTGGACAACACTTAAAGCCAAAAAAATAAACATTTAGTCACTATTGATCAAAGATCAGATAATGGAACACCCCCACATCATGTGGATAAAACAAATAAAATGTATAAAAAAAAAATTTGAAGCAGCCTATGCAAAAAGGCCATGATGCAAGAACACAAACCCCCCACTACTATGTTAATATTTTTTTATAGCATGAGCTAGTTCGTGAAAAATATGAAGCAAATGAACAGAAACATTAGTCAATTCACAATTATTTTTCCCATCAAGTGAAACGAACAGTGGCAAGGAAGGAACGAAGCACCCGCCGGTTCAGTTCAGATCAAAGCGTGTGGTGTTCTTCCTTGTTGCTTATGTTTTGACGACATTAAAGTGTGTTGAAGCATGAGAGTTAGAAAATGGGTCAAAGAACGCTGTTGAAATCGAACGACTCATGCCGGAAGCTGCACGTGCACCAACATCTGAATCAGAGATTGGCGCAGGAGAGTTACAATAATTAGACTTGACCTAGCAAGTTATGGGGTTCTCGCTAAATGCTAGGATCAATACTAGCTACTAATTGTCTCGTTAGTTTTCATGTTTGCCTCTCGGTTTCACAATCAAGAATTAGAGTAATTTCATTTACATAACTCAGGTCAAAGATTTGAGTGCAGCAAACTTGACAGTTGAATGAACCAGAAGATGATGGGCGAGCATGCTTTTTGTGGAGAGGTGATTTTGGAGTTGCTCCTCTCGAGTTGATCTAGAACTTAACTTGATTTTCCTTCCCCCACGAATCCTATCTAACTGGTCTACATTGAATATAGGCAAGCATGTCTCTTGAATGGGTAAAAGGAATAATTAAGCAGAGAAAATCTCATGATCTGGTCGGTGTGTCTTGTGGTCCTCACACAAAGGGCAAGTGTATGACTCCTTGCTCGTGTCTTCTTGCCTGGCCCAAGAAGTGCATTGCAATATGATTGAATCCGGCTAGTCAAGGTAGGAAACATAAGATGATAATTGCATGTTATAATTTCTCTCAAGATCTCTCCCTCTCCAGCCATTGTGTTTGCCACGGTCTTAGAAGCACTATCTGTCCTTAGCACGTCAAGATAACATAAATATCTAGAGTGCATCACAAACATTTGCAGAGATTAGATGTTTCAATGCACATATGATGCCAGCTTCTATAATTAATTGTTCTCAACTAGCATTATTGCCAAATGTGGTGGTTATAATCATTATTTTTTGCCTTCATCTTCTTCACCTCATAATGCCCTTAAAAATTTGTAAACTAAAGTCAGGTCCCTTTTCATGGTGAAGCACCGAGTTTATTGGAAGGTCGAGCTTCCCACTTCAAATCACATAATAGCTGGTTTGATCTAGAAAAGGGTGTATTTGCTTTGTGTTCTGGATCAATATATTTCACCCATATAAACATATCTTTGTTATATTTGAATTGCCAATTGGGAGTCCCTTTGCTTGCTAATGAAGTATCTTAGGGAAACGAGAAGAGATGGAGAAGTAGAAGATGTACATAATGGAAGATATGCATGTACATGAAGTGATGTAGGAGGTCAAAAATATATCTTCATGAACAAATCAAATGAAAGACATTAATAATGATATATGGGAAATTGGAGGAACGAGAGGAGGTAAGAATCCGAGGATTTATGTACGCGCCATAAATGACTAACATAGGTTGTCGGCAAATCAATCTCATACGTGGAATCGTTTTACTAAGGATCTCATGGTAGACTATTCTGTTCTTGTTTTTCACATTGATTGGTCAATAAATCTATGGAAAGATTCTACTTAGGTAACTATATTTTCTTAGAAATATGTACACTTTCAAATTTTCCCATTAAGCGACAATGGACCTAAGAAACTTTTTTTTTAATGAAGTAAACCAATTGGTCAGCTTCAACTTTTAGGTAAAAGAAAATATAAGGCACTCAAATTCACACGCGTTTTGCACCGACACACTCCGTCAAGCACGCAAATGTACAAATGCATGCTCGCCTCCACACAAGGGTAGGGATCCTACTCAAAACTCTATTTGGATTGATGTTCAAAGCCTAAGAAGAAAAAAAGACCATTTCCACTTGGGGTGAGCATGGGTTGAGGGCAAAACCGGGAATCAGACCAGACTGGCCATAGGAGTTGGTCTGGTTCTAGGTTCCCACAGTTACCGGTTCCCAAAAAAAAGTAGAACCAATATTGTGCGGTTCGGTTGCCGGTTCTTGGGTAAGAACCGAGTCAGGATCCGAATAACCGAACCGGGACTCGAGAATCGATGAACCACAGTTACGTGTTTTGGACTTTTTATTGTTTATTTATTTTACATGTTCATCTTTTATGGATTGTTGATTTATGGATTGTTGATATTGACAAATGAGGATTTTTGTTGTTGCGTTCACTTTCATTTTGCTTAACTAAAAATGAAACAAAAAAATATAAAATGGCTAGTTCCTAGGTAGACCATAGATATGATCGACAAGGTAGGTTCCAGATCAAACTTGAACCGACCTTGGAACCGTTGGGGTGAAAAATTTCCACTCGATATTTTCTATTATCAATAACGTAAAACATCCATCCATTCCAGCCGAAAAAACTAGAAAAATGAAAATTTTGAGAGAAAGGTCGTAATTTTACGTCTAAACTTGGTCTGATCTCTAATGCCATAATTTTCTGGGGAGTGGCCTTGAGAAGACGTCAAGAGATTTCTGGAGAAACATGTTTCAACATTTGAAGGAGTTCAGTAATTCAGGAATGAAAAATCTGACCTATATCATACCGATACAGCTCGGCCCCAATTTTTGCTGATCAGGTTACTAACATTATTCTTTCTCTCTTTTTGTTCAAAGCATAGAATCACAGAATTCAGGCGGGGCATAATATGTGTTTAGAATTGAAGAATCTTCTAAACATAATAAGATATGGTTCAGGTAATGAAAAGGGCCAAAGAGAGAGGGAATCAGAAGGTGTTAGTAATTACTCATGCTATTACATTCACATAAACTGACCAGATGTAGATAACTTGGCCAGGAAAACCATCTCAATTTCTGAGATGTACATATACAATTAATGATATTCCTTGCCCCTTCTGATTAGAGGGAAAACAACAACTAGTAGTACTACTACTGGTGGCAAAAAACACCTCCAAAAACCCTCTTCATCAGCAGTGGGAGATCAACAAATATATCTATATCTACAACTAATTACATCATATCTTATACTTACTCTTGATCGATCGATCTCTTCCCCTCCAAGGGTGAAAAAAAATGTACACGGTGGAAGGAAAACATCTGCTGGTCCGACCGAACACTCCTCATCACAACTGATCTTTTCAGGGTTTTGATCAAGACCTTTGGGAAGGAATCAAGCTCACCACATTAGTAGCAACATTCCTCCACACTGGAAGCTGCATGTTGAGGTTTTGTGCACTTAGAAGCAAATCTCTTGCCTTGTGGATAAAACTATCGATCCTCAAATTAGCCTCCCTTTCAATTTGGAATTTTTTGGGGAATTTGAGCAAGCTTAGGTAGGTCTCTAGGTCATGGACACAAGAAGGGTTTTGGACATTGAAGAAGTCAAGGGCAAGCTCAACACCGACATGTGCATAGCATGAGCAACTCCATGGGAATTCAAATTTCCCACCCAAAACCCTAAAATGTTCATTGAACACCACGCCAGGAAGCTTTGTGATTGGATCATTCACATTCACTATCCTCAAGACCTTGATCCCGAGCTCGTTGCACCTCTCTTTGAATGCCAAATTGCCGACCCTCGGTCCACCGAACGAGAACACCGTGATGGGTATGTCTCGAATTGAATCATTTTTGGAGGTGAACTTGTTGAGGCCGAGCTCCGAGATGTCGTAGGCGAGGAGGTGGGCCAGAGAGCTCCCCATGCTGTGCCCAGCGAGTGTGATGCTCATCTCCTCGCCCTTGTGCTTCTTGATGAGCCGTGAAACCTCGGAAAGAAGTTGCTCGCGGCAGCTCTTGATCCCAAACTTGCTCGAGGCTGCCTCATCCGCAGTGTAGAGGCTCAGGAACCCAGATTCGACTTTCACATCTTCGCGACAGTCGTGCGGGTCAAGGCGCGCTGGGGTGAGAGAGCTCATGAAGTTAGCGATCCACTCGGGGCTTGTGACTGTCCCGCGGAAGCTAATCACTACATCCCGCCTCCCGAGCCGCCTCGCCATGTCGTCCGAGGCGACCGCGACATACCCGATCCATCGGCCGCAGCACGGCGCCGCCCCATTAGGCATCGGGATGCTCACGTCCGGCGTGGCGTAAATGTACTTGGTGACCTCATACCCAGAGTCGCCCATCCCGACTTCTTCGAGCAACTTCCTCTTACCATACTTGCAATTCAAGTAGCGCTTGGATGCGGGGTCGAGGTCGAACGCGAGATAGCACGCAGACACGAACTCGCCGTAGCGGACGATCTCTCGCCGGAGGAGAGGGTGCAAGGGCTCCAAGAGGTGCTCCCAGTCGTTGCAACCTTGGATCTCTCGCCAAGAAGGGCGCAGAACCGAGGTGGTGGCGGCGGCCTCTAAGGGACAAGAAGTTGATGATGATGATGGTGGTGGTGATGATGATGAAATGGGTGTCGCTAAAACTGAAGCAACCGCTTGCTGTCTTGGCGGTGAAGAAGAAGAAGAAGAAGAGGAGGAGGTGTCGCTTTTACTGGGCAAGCGAACTTGCTTCATTGAGCGAGACAGGGGCTTGATGTCACCATAAAAACAAGCAGAGCCCATGTTTGGGCTTGCCATGTATGCTGTGCAGGCCATTGCTGTTGATTTTTAGGCCAGCCGCACACTGAGAGAGAGAGAGAGAGAGAGAGAGAGAGAGAGCTGTTGGTTTTTAGGCCAGCCGCACACTGAGAGAGGGAGAGGGAGAGAGAGAGAGAGAGGACAATGGAGGAGACAGTGAGAGTGGTGGGTTATATAGAGGAGAAGCAGGAGGGAGAGGGAGAGGGAGAGGGTGAGGGTGAAAAGTGAGGTATGGGAAGCTGGCTGAGGGTGAGGGAAAGAAAAGGCATGTTTGGCGAGGATTTGACCTCCATTTTTCAAATGGAGAGCGTTTATTATATGTGGTCGGTTGGGCGTAAGGTCACCCTCATTGGATCGCACCCCGTTGCGGCTAAATTGCCGAGGTCAATAAAATAAAACGCAACTGTCTGAAAATACATTGAAAAAAGTGACATGATGTTGTCTTGTCTCCATCTCCTTAAATCAGCACCTGTTGGTTTCCAACTGTAAATGACATCGAAGGTAACACATAGGGCCTTGAGGGTAAGAAAAATATTTTTACTATGAAAAGTAATCTCGAATGGCTCCCATATTCTTGCCTTTGAATTTGGTTAAAAAAAGATGAAATCTAAAACTATCTCTTTGCGAGTTCATAACTGGAGAACGAAGCACTAGACACTCCGCTTAGCTCGTCAAAGGAAGGACGCCTTTTTCAACTCATCCGGATCGAGGAAAGAATAAGATAACAATACTTGAGGAAATATCGAAGTCATTACCCCCCGAAAAAGTCCATAGCACTCCTCAATACATACATAATAAGTTACTACCATTGGGAAGGTAGTGGCTCGAGGGAAGTCTCCATCTGATAATAAAGCAATTTATGCATGCAGGGATTTCCAAATTTATTGATAGAAAAGTTCTCTAAGAGCTCTTTAGGAGAAAGGATTACTAAGAAACTGTGAAATTGCCCGTGCATGATGCCCCGGCACCAAGGCCAGGTCCAACCATGCCCGAATCCCCCGCGTCCACATACACAGTGCTTGGGTCTACAATGCCCGTGCCTAGGTCCATCGAGGTTAGCTCCAAGACCCTAGTGCCCATGCATGGGTCCCTGACGATTGCACCCACATCCATCGAGGTCGTGCTTAGGACCCCGATGACCGGGCCCGGGTCCACAAAGACCGGGACTCCGATGCCCATGCCCAAATCCCTCACGCCCGAGCTTGGGTCCAACGAGGCCAAGGCACGAGATCTCAATACCCATGCTTAGTTTCCCAGTTGCTCATGCGTAAATCACTAGCACCCGAATGGTGTGTTTAATTAGAAAAATCAATTTAGATTTTCCTTTCCAAACAACAGAAAGTATTTTCCGGTTCTTTTTCATCTTTTAGCCAAATACCATATAATATAGTCATTTTTCAGAAAAATGACTTTCCGAAAAACATTTTCGAGAAAATGTAATATTTCTGTGAAACAAAGGGAGCTTTAGTAAATAGAGCTTACTGGCATGTTAGACATAGTAGTCATAGATGAGTTTCGTATACAAACTCATTGATTATAAGGCAAACTCATTGGTGATTTAGGAAAAGTGGTTTCGTTTTTACCATAAGGGAAAGTTGTTTTCCTCTCACTCTAAGCTTATTTGTCTTCAGTCCATGAACAATGTTTTTCGTAAATCGATTAGTTTTCCGTTATGCAAATAACGAAAAGTCGGAAAACAAATTTCCGAAAGCAATTATCGTTCCAACTACCGAACCCTAGGATTGCTGTTCCTAGTTTACTGGAAAGTTTTTCTTGGAACCAATAGTTTACTGGAGAGTTTTTTGGTCTGTTTACTGGAGAGTTGAGACCACCAAGAATGGAATGGAATGGAATGTGAACCGATCAGTTTGAATATATGATCGAGCGAGCCACGTGCAGTGCGACCCCTCATATTAAAGCAATAGACTATCGACCCTCCTTAATACTTTCCAACTTTGACTAACTTTTAGGATGTATATGATGGTAGCATTAATATTTCCTAGCAAATATTTACCCGGTTCGATCTAAATGTCGATACCTTCTCTACAGAGAAAGTCAAACACATAACAATACACCATAATTCAGAGAAACTACGGGCTTTGAAATCGTAAAATGAAACCACAAGTGTTGTCTCGCAATCTCTCACGGAGAACTCATTTAGGAAAATCCCAGAGAGAGAAAATCCCTAATACTCCTCTTGTTCGCTTTATACGTAGTGACCGAGCAGAATAAACACCCTCGGATTCAGATGTTGCGCCGCAAGCTTATGCACATAAACAACACTCGCGAAAGACACATACGATCAAAAACACATATATCCATCCTGCGGATGACTTGCTGACTCAAATATAAAGACTTCTACCGAGTTGGGTTTTGCATCATAAGCTCAAACTCGAAACATTATTCTAATCGGATTGTCATGGTGTCTTACATTGACAAGCATGTCTAGTCAAAATTAAACCTATACATGAATTTTCATGAGATGTTTCCCTTCGTGTGAACATTGTAAACTAAACCTATAATAATCTTACAAATATTAGTTTAGTTTAACTTCTTTTGAAATGGAGTGAATATTTCCCATAAAATAAAGATAAACAGCAGCAATGACAATATCAAAAGTCAAATTTCAACTCTTTAGGTTGTCCTTGGCTGTACATCATTCCCCCCTCTTTGAATTGTCACCTGTTCTAGTACTCCAAAAATTAAATAATAATAATAAGAATTAACATTATATAAGTACAACCTCACATGAGCTAACAGTGCAACGTAATTTAAAATTGGGTTTCTTTCGATTAGCAAGTGTCCTTTTTCCATATTCATAGGATATTAATTTTAACGAATATATATATATATAGCTAGATCGTCCACTTCGTGGAAGATTTACCAACAAGCTAATCTCCTAATCAATTGCAATTTGGAAATAGAAAGTTATGGAGATGTAGTCCCGTGCATATCATATATGATCCGATTGCAACTTATGAGCATATCTTTGCTTAACCCATTAAAAAAATTGGCAAACCCGCCTAAATAAATCACCCATATTGGCCAATTAAAATATAGGGTTTTGGGTGTGAGTTTGGATATCCCCACAAATTAAAATGGTATCTTCCAAGATTACGGGAAAGATAACGATATTGCAATGAAATCTGATGAAATGCTTAGCTTTGTTCATACTCAATCACATATATTTATAATGGGGTAACTGCACTGGAACTCGTAAAACTTGTCACGAAAATGCGATTGAGTCCTAAATCTTTTAAAAAATGCAATCATGTCCTAAAACTTATCACGAAAGTGCAATAAAGTTCCAAAACTTTCTAAAAGTGTAATCAATTCTTAAATCTTGTCACGAAAGTGTAATCGAGCCTTAAAACTTTCGAAAAGTGCAATCGACGGAATGATTTGATTGGACCAACTTAATAAGTTGCAGGACTCGATTGCACTTTTTGAAATTTTGAGAACTCAATTGCACTCCCGTGATAAATTTTAGAATTTCATTGTATTTTTTAAAAATTTTAGGACTCAATTGCACGTTCAAAATAAATTTTAGAACTTCCAATATATTTATCTCATTTATAATTACCAATAGAAAAAAAAAAGTACACGAAAATTATTAATTTATGAGTAGAAAGTAACAATGATTGTACGTTGGATTGTCAAAATGAATGTGCGGCAGTTCATATTCAGTCGTGTCAAAAGGGCAGAGATCCCGCGAGGTTGCGCCCTTTTTTTTCGGGGGCCGCCGACTATTTTTCATTTGCACCCCCGAACTGTTCGTAATTTGCAGAGGTGCCCCTGGATTGAGGGGGGCGTCACGCTCGCACGCCTTAATGGACGGCGAGCTGCTGCTATCGTCTTTACAAGCCACGCCCCGGGACCAAATCTGCCAACCAAATCTACCGACCCGGTACATCCTAATCGCCGATCGATCTGACGAGTCGCGCGTCGTTTTACTGCGGGTATGGATCTTGCAAAATCAATGATCGCGATGCGTCCGGATGGACTCGAGGCATGTACTTATCGGGACATGGTCCGCAGAAACATGACTGATTACGATGGTTGGACATGGAATTTCCTCGTGTCTCACGGAACTTTAACTGCTACCTTCACGGACGACTTATGGACTCGGATCTTGGTAAGAAGTACTCTGATAGGAGAGATTAGCATATACACCGAATCGAGTGCACTGGATATATTCTCAGCCCTGGTGGGTTCGATCTGCTTTACATCGTACAAGGAAAGTACCAAAAAAAAGTCTTAAACTTATTGCATTGCTACAAATTCAGTCCAAAACCTTTTTTTAATTAGACAAATTTAATCTAAACATTTTGCATTTTCGCCAATCGAGTCCGTCCGGCCAATTATAGCCGGAAATCCCTGACATGGACACTGGCCGGCCGTCTTACACGGCACGACCAGCGCGGACGTGTACAAATTTAACAAATTCTCTAGATTTTTAAATATTTTTCTTTTCTTTTTATTTTCTTTTTTTTCATCACGGCCGGCGAGGCGAGGGCCGGCAGTGACCCTAGCCCGGGCCACCCTCGGCCGTGGGCAAGTAAATCGACATCCCGCTTCCGAGCGAGCCCTCGAATGATATGGCGCGTGTTTCGTGCCACATAGGACGGGAAAAAAGAAAAAAAGAAAAGGAACAAGAAGAAGCCATCGCCTACTCAATAAAGCCAACTCCTTTTCAAAATGTGATCAAAGCACCTTTGGGGGTTTTCGGGGGGGCGCGCGGTGGGGCTGTATTAGCGATGAAATCGCCGGGTCCCACCCCGCCACCGGCCGTATAACCTGTGGGTGCGAAGAGCCGATGCGCCGGCTGACGTGGCACCCCCCCCCCCCCCCCCCCCGGGAATGTACAGCCACGTTCCCCCATGCGAATAAACATGTTTCATCAAAACCGTATGGTGTCCGAAAGAAGGGAGGAGGAGGTCGGGGTGTTGGATTTTGACTGCCACGTGCAAATAAATACGGTCTCCCCTAATCCCCCCCATCCATCCTCCCTCCCCTCCCACCCTTTCGTTTTGGACGGAACGCGCCAAAGCTTTTTAGCCATGGCCCCCACCCCCCAAAAAAACACAGGAAGAGAGATGCCAATTC